GCTGATTTTTTTTAATGGAAAGAACATGATTCAAGATGTCCAGAGAAACTGACCTGCTCTCACACAGTTCTTTGATGAGTGCTTTTATGATTTTAAAATCTAAAATCATGTTGCAGTGCTGGTCATGGGGCCATATAGGGAACAGCACCCAAGTGGGGATGGGAAGCTCACAGGCACTGCCCAGCTGATGATGCAAATCTTCCCAGCCCAGGCTTTCTCGGGTCTCCCCCAAGAGTCTGCCTGGAAGGCCCAATTGCTACATTCCTGTTGCTGTAATGATCGCAACTTGGCAGCATCTGGGGTACTGCACCCGGGACAGGAGCTGGAAGGGGAAGAGATGATGGGCCCCTTTGCAAAACACAACACTGAAAAGGACAGAAAGCTGAATTTACTGTGGCCAGTGGTTTTTAATAAAAAATTTGTTTAAAAGCAAAGGAAAAGACATGTTCCATAGCAGTACAAACAAATCGCTCAGGCTTTTTGAGATGAGTTCCTTTAAGCAAAACGGTGGTCCAGGGCTGAGCAGGGGAGGATTCTCACCTCTCTGGGTTCAGAAACATGAGCATGACTTGGTCACTTCCAGGGACTCTGATTGATCTGGAGCCCCAGTTTATTTTCAAAAGATACCTATTATTAATTACATTTTGCTCTCAAATCAGAATCACTCGGTTATAGGAATGTGTGTGTGGATATGCAGTATGTGACATATGAGTGACAGGATGAAGTCGATGAGAATTTGGCAGTTGTTTAACAAAGTTTATAAAGATGTCTGCCTTAAAATGTAGTTTCTGCAGGAAATGTTCATTGAGTTGCAATTCTAGGCTCTTCCCATCCTTTCCCCACCAAAAGTTCCCTTTTGTTTTTATCCCTATGGACCCGATGTTCTGTCAAGAAACTAATTAAGTAGTAATTTTTTTTATTAGCCAAAGATATAACTAAATATCTAGTATTTAAAAAGTAACCATCAATTATAAAATGTTTGTCAGCCTTTCCAAAACATTGCATGTAAGTTAAGGATATTCTTTACTATCTCCATGAATTCCTCCAGGACTACATGCTGTATCATGTATCATGTTTTATTACAGTGAAAGTTCCAGTAAAATAAAGATTTCTTCTTCTAGCTTAAATGGTGGAGGAATTACCCCTTAAAGAGTCTTCACTCGTTCTATTTCATTAACTCAACACTTACTGATTTGTCTACGCCTTGTCTTTATACAGAAATCAGAAATAAAACCATTTCCTTTCCTTCCAGATCTGTGCTATCCAATATGGCACCCACTAGTCGCACGTGGCCATTTAAATTAAATTTAATTTCAAAATGTTTTTTACTCCAGTAGCCACATTTCAAGTGCTGAACCACACATGGCTCGTTACTGTTCTTTTAGAACAAAATAGAACATTTATATTATTGCAGAAAGTTCTTCTAGATAGTACTGCTCTAAATAGTATCAGCTTTATAGGGTGGACACAGTATTAAATGAGATAACCCATGAATGACGCTTAGGCTAAAGTCTAGAACATGACCTTCAAGAGAAGTTAGCTATTGCTCTAACAATATACATTATTATAACAAAGGCTTTCCTTTTTTAAAAGGGTATCCCTAGTATCCTTTGTTGTGCCTGCATAATACAAAATGTTTGGTAAATGCTGAGTTAATGAAAAATTATAATGCTACATTGATTTTATGGATATGAGGGCCTCTGTTAAATATGAAAATTGACCTATCTTTGTTGAAGGGTAGAGGCTGTTGTAGGTCAGTTTAGGTAGGACCGTCATCTCACTTTTTCTGGGATTGATAACCCCGTATGATGAAAGTTTGGAGTAGATATGGAGAAGCAAAGATTCCTTCAGTTCTTAAAGGAAGGAAAGAGCGGTCACTTCACTTGCCCTCCTCTTTGTTGTAGGAACTGGACCAATGGGAGGCAACTGGATCCCTGAGTTCAGGTATCAGTTGTTCTCTCAAGCAACTTCCCGAAGGGCTTGAGTAGGAATTAAACAGCCTCAGGAAATATCAAACAGTAGCAACTGTTCTTGCAAATGTGTTCAGTATTTTTCTTATGTATCTATCTAAAGATAATTTTATAGTGAAGTATGGTTAGTATGGCTTTTTAAAACACAACACTGGTAACCTCACATAAAAGTGGAATTCCAGGAACACTGGAAAACGCTACTCTAACACTGCCAAAAGGAAAGGTTTCCTGGATATGTAATGAGATCACTACCACTGAAGGTACTGAAACTTCTCTGGAAGTTTTCTCTGTAAAGATGTTGAAGAGGAGAGTCATGCACTGGGTGATGAGTGTAGTCTACTAGCACCAAGAGAGTTCACTCTTTGGTGGTTAAACACCTCTTCCTCTTTCTAGCACAGAGAGAAACTTCCTTTCGCACACTGGACTTGGGCTGGCTGAGACGCAGGAGTGTCATAGGAGGTCAATACTGATTTACTTTAGTATTTGCTAAATACTACTAGATTTATTAGTGTAGCCATCCTGCACCTAAGAGGCAGAATAGATTTCACTATTTAATAGTATGGAAGGCGGTGGCTCATTTTCACAACTGGGGTCATTGATCCAGCACATCATAGTTTTGAGTAGAATGTAAATAAGTTCTTTGGTGGATGGGCCTAGGTCTGGTGCTTCTTTTGGCTTGTTATAAAGTCTAAAGAGGAAGTAGAAATCTCCATATCACTTGAAAGGAAGAGGAGCCTACCAGGGTGTGTTGGGAAAAAAATACTGACATATATAGAAATAGATTGCTGTCTGGGTACCTGTCAGCGCACAGAATTTATGGCAGATTATTTGGATTAAGTCCAATAAATTTGCCCTGTTATTTACAAGAAATTAAAAATATATGTTCTTGGGCAATTTCTGCTGTCTTTTTTCCTGCTAAGAATAGTCTGTTTAATAGCTTGAGAATTCATTAGATTTGTTTTTACATTTTCTGAAAAACTTACTCAAATAAGCTGGTGCTAGGACATTGGTGCTAAGATATAATTTAAAATTCTGAAATGAAAACCCTAAACTCAAAGTGACATTATGTAGTGGTTGTTGCTTAGATTTATTGGGTGAAGGAAATTTACAGTGCAATAAGCTGAAAAGGAAGTTTTTCTAAGAAAATAGTTATAGACTCACAAAATGTTGCAAAAAAGTACGGGGAAGTCCTGGGTTTTCCCCCATCTCCACTGACCTAGTTGTCCCCCAGTAATAACATCTTGCATCACTATAGTACAATATCAAAACCAGAAAATTGACACCTGTTCAATTGTTAGGGCTTATTTAGATCTCACCAGTTTGACATACACTGTGTGTGTGTACGTGTGTTTTCTATGCAATTTTATCATGTGTATAGTCTTCTACCACCACTATAAGATACAGTCCTGCTCTGTCACTGCGAAGTTCCCACAACCTACACCTTTACAGCCACATCCATGCTCCACCCAATGCATCTAATTCCTGTTAATCACTAATCTGTTCCCATCTCTATAATTTCAAAAACGCTATATAAATGGAATCACCTAGTATATAACCTTTTAGTTAGGCTATTTTTCCCCACTCAGTATAATTCCCGTGGAACGCATCCATGTTGTCATGTGTATCAATAGTTTGTTTTTTGGATAAATATTCCATGGTATGGATGTACCACAGTTTATTCACCCACTGAAGGACATTTTGATTGTTTCCAGTTTGGGAGTATTATGAATAAAGCTGCTATAAACATTCAAGTGAAGGTTTTGTGTGAACATAAGTTTTCATTTCTCTGGGATAAATGCCCAAAAATACAATTGCTAGGTCATATGGTCCCAGCATGTTTAGTTTTATAAGACATTGCCAAACAATGTTCCAGAGTGGCTGTACCATTTTACATTACATTGCCATTCACAAAGTATGTGTGATTAGTTTTTAATCTGTTAAATCAACTTATTAAAGTATAGCCACACATTTCTTTTACTACCCACTGCTCTACTGTAATTGCTTGTTTACTTGAACCCCACCAGACTAAACTTCAAGGTCAGGAATCCTGTTTTGTTCACCTTAATGTCTTTGGTGCCTAACATAGTGCCTGACATACGTTAGATAGTCAATAAATATTTGTTTAGTGAATGAACAAAGTAATGAACAGAAGAAAGAATAACTGAGTCAGGCTGAAATCAAATTGAAAAATAAAATTGTCAGTAAATCATAATTTTTTGTCAGTAAATCATGATTTTTTCTCCAGTATATAATATTTTCAAAACAGATATTGGCACTCTATAAGGTGAGTTTCTTGTGGACAAATTAATAAAAACTAATTGCTAAATTATGTCAGGCCAAGGCTATTCATTGTACTACTTTGGTAACAGCAAAAGATTGAAAATAATCTAAATGACCAATGATAAACTTTTAATATTTATATAATGGAATACCACTCAGTAATCAAAAATAATCAGAAAACTATGTAAGGTATGGACATGCTTCAAAAGATAATTTAAAAAAAAAAGTTTACAGAGGAGTATGTAGAGTATACCATTCTTTGTGTGAAAATAAAGGAAATTTTAAAATAAAAGATATATGCATAAAGATGTTAATTCTCCCCAAGTCAATCTAAAGTACAGGGTGTACCTGGACCATCTTATACCACAAATTAAAGAAGTGCTCAGAATTTGTAGGGACATACCAAAAGAATATAGGAGCCAACCTAAAGGGACTCCTGGACAAATTGGGGGTACTTTAAGTTTATGATAATGTCAGCAATAGATTATAACACACTGAATAAAAACACAGAAACAGAAAAGAATCGGAGTCCAGACTGATATTTAAAATTAGAGAATAAAAAGAGGGAGGAGAGAAAGGAAAGTTCTTTGCATTAAATGATAAAATTAAAATATCACCATTTTGTAATCACCATAGTAATAATTGATTCAGGCCAGGATCATCAGTGGATGTGAAAACCCTTGGGTCAAAGTTTGCTTAGGAACAGAAAAGATTCATACATTCTCAAAACTATTACTTCCATGGGCGATATTTACTTTTTGAAATCTTTATTAATTACAGATGTAAATAGCAACTTCACAGTGGAGAAATATGTCAGACACCTTAACCAAATGATCAAACTTTCTGTCTTAGTTTCTTATTGCTGTTGTGAAAAATTACCACAAACTTGGAGACTTAAAACAACAAATTTAGTATCTCACAGTTCTTTAGTCCAGAAACCTGACACACATCTCACCAGGCTAAAATCTAGGTGTTGGCAGGGCTGGTTTCTTTGTGGAAACTACAGGCGAGACTGTTTTCCTTGCATTTTCCAGCTTCTAGAGACCACCTACAGTCCTTGGCTCACGGTCCCCTTCATCCTCAGAGCCAGAAGGCTAACTTGAGTCTTCCTCAGATCACATCCCTGGAACTCTTGGCTCTTCTGCCTCCCTCCTTCACTTATAAGGACCCATGTGAGGATTTGGGGCCCAGCCAGATAATGCAGGATCAGCCCTTCTGTCTCAAAATCCTTAATCGCAACTGTAAAGTGTCTACTGCCATGTGAAGTAACATTCTCTCGTCCTGGAGATTAGGACAGGGACATCTCCAAGGGCACCATTACGTTGCCTACCACATTTATATTACAAAGAGTGCCACGCACCAGCATTATGTGCATTCTGATGTAATGCACTGAAAAGGACACATCACTTAAGGTACTTTTCCTGCCAAAAAAAAAATTACCTAAATTGAAGGACTTTTTGAAACAACTGTCCTTTACTATTCAAAAAGGTCAATGTTGTTTTTTTTTTTTAAAAAAAGGAAGATTGGGGAATTACTCCAGATTAAAGGAAGGAGACTATAGAAACATGAAAACTAAACACAACATATAATCCTTGAGTGGATCCTGAATAAAAAGAGAAAGTATAAAAAGTGATATTAGGACAAGAGGAAAATTTGATTAGTTGTATAATAAATAATAATATTGTATCATTTAAATTTCCTAGGTGTCATAAACATATTGTTTGTTTTTAGGGAATATATGATAAAGTATTTAGAAGTAAAGTATCATGATATCTGTGACTAACCTCAACTGCTTCAGAAAAAAAGATGAAGAGAAAACAAATATGGCAAAATATTAACAGCTGGTGACTCTGTATCAGTACTGTAAAGCAAATATAATGCAAGCCACATATATAATTTTAAATACTGTATTCTAGTAGCTACATTTTAAAAAGTAAAAAAGAAATGAAATTAATTTTAATAATATTTTAACTCAATATATTCAATTATTTAAAAATGTAATCAATGGTTAGAGCATCGGCCTATGCACCCGAGGGTTGCTGGGCACATACTTGGCTTGTAGGTTCCCTTCCTGCCCTTTGAGGCATGTGCAGGAAGCAACCAATTGATGTCTTTCTCACATCTGATGTTTCTCTCTCTCTCCCTCCTTCCCTTCCACTCCCTCTCAATGGAAAAAATATCCTCGAGTGTGGATTAACAACAAAAATACGTAATCAATGTAAAAATATTAAGATATTTTACCATTTTTTCAGAATAAGGCCAGTAGGCATCCAACACTTATAGAACATGTAAACTTATACTAGTCATATTTCAATGCACAATACAGTGTGTTTCTGGTACTACTAAACTGGATAGCACAGGTCTAGATGAAGGACGTATATGTGTGCTCATTGTCCTATACTTGCAATTTTCTGTAGGTTTGAAATGTCTCAAGATAAAAAGGGGGTTAAAAATAGATACTGTATGGGCACAGACTACATCTAGGAAGATACAGAAGAAACTGTTAATGTTGGTTACCTCTGGGAAGAAAAACTGAGGAGTGATTAGGGGATAAGAGAGGGATAGTGGTTTTCACTGTACCCTTTTGTACATTTTATACATTATAACTGAACCTATTAAAACCTAAAATCATTCTAAATGTAATATCTCCTTTATCTTTTTATTCAAAACCAGATATGCTACAGTGTATACAGATAAAGAATTATAATGTTGTACACCGGAAACTCATGTAACGTTATAAACAAATATCTCAGTTTAAATGCGCACACACATTCTCTCTCTCTCTCCCTCTCTCCCTCTCTCCCTCTC